CTCTTTCCCCTTCAAAACTTAAAGAGTTAATAATATGTCCTTCAGGAAAAGGAAACTATAAGTATAGTAAAAAGACTTCACTTTCTAGAACACAGAACTTTAAGTGACAGAAAAGAATGGCTCTACCTGCATCTTACCTGCATGCCGTATCCAACAGCAGCTGGATTAAAATAACAGTTAAAATAACAGTTTTGTTTCAGGAAGGTAAGTGCCAGAAGGCCCAGGCACAACTTCTCAGAGAGCTCTAGTCTCTTTAATGGCTGAAATTAGTCCCCCCCACCAATCCTATCTAATGGGAATAAAAACAAGCAGACTTTCAATAACAGAATATTTTCAAAATCAAAACATCTGAATGTTTTTTCAGTTTGATTAGTAAATAGTAAAAGCATGACTACCACCATTCCCTGCAAAATAGCGACAAATAACAAGCCAGACAGCAAGTAAAAACCACCACAGACATTTGAAAAACGAACTAAAAATGTGCAACGCTAGCATTCTTACCTTAACAGAATTATAGAATGCTTCGAACACACCCACACTCTTGGCACTGAGTTGGAGGTTCACAGTTCCTTCCACTGTCAAGGAGACTCCCTGGTGCTGGACCGAATCCTTCCCAGATACGACCACCACCCCGGAGAGCATTTCCTGGGGGAGGGGAGACAGCCACTCAACACATTAGCACGGCTCTTTCATCCACCTGGTTTACTAGCAAAGTCAGCCTCCGTAACCATCAATTTGTTCAAAGATGCAGACACTCACTGAGTGCTTATCACAGACCAGATGCCTGGATACCAGGATGGGGAAGGGCCAGCCCTGAGGGGTCCCGGGAGCGGGGCGATTTACTAGCAAAGTCAGCCTCCGTAACCATCAATTTGTTCAAAGATGCAGACACTCACTGAGTGCTTATCACAGACCAGATGCCTGGATACCAGGATGGGGAAGGGCCAGCCCTGAGGGGTCCCGGGGGAGCGGGGCGAGGAATCTCATCCCCTCACCGCCTTCCAGACACACCTTCATTCCTGCTGGAGAATCCAAACAAATGTCTGATTTCAAAAGGGCAAAGAGAGGGCCTGGGGGAATGGCAGATTCACAGACCATTACACAAGAGCGTGTATGAGGATCTCCTCAGAAGGAATATGACACAATAAGAGCCTTTTCTTTAGGTTCTTTCTCAATTATGCTGACTAAGATGATTACACACTGTCAAACGCATGAGTAATTGAGCACGGCAGCTGGCCGGGTGTCCTCTGCCCAGAGAGCCTCGTGGGGGGCCTGGAGGTCGTGGATATACCACCCGATGGCCACACGGCCCTTCACTAAGCCCCCAGCCCCTCTGTGTCCTGCTTCCTGCTGGTAGACAGTCAAGCCCAGATTTCCCTGGTTCATGAATCATTTAAGAAAGACTTCACAACAGAGCATCCATTCACATCCATTCACTTCTCTGGAGATAATCACTGAGTCACAGAATATGGACATTAACTACATTCCTTCCTGTCACCGTGGGCTTGACGGTCTCAAGTTGAGACTGGGGTTTGCGTGGAACAGGAAGTTGAGAAGATTAACTAGCACCAACCAAAGGAAATCCACAATAAACACAAAACAACATGTTTCTGAAATGACCTCGAGAAACGGTTTGTGACTGTTCTCAAATGGTAATGTGATGGCAGAACTGTTGACAAAAAGACAAAAAAAGAAAAACAACAAAAATTAAAAATGGCCCCAAAAGCAATTATACTCCAAAAAAGATGTTAAAAAAAAAAATGGCCCCACAGATCAAAGCATTAAAAAAATCTGTCCTCCTGGCGTTTAAATCTGTTTACCTTTTATTTTCTCTAGTCCTCTGGTGAAAAAACTTTCACCAAGTTCTTATATTATGTGAAATTTTGGGAGCGGGGACTATTCTATGTCCCTTAAATATGCTAAGTATTTTGGCTTTGTTTCCCGTTCCCCATCCCAAAGCGCTGAAGTCTAAATTAAACAAACACTCTCAGCTCCCTTTTAAGCAGAATTCAAGGGGTAGAACTCATTTTGCTCTTAACATAAGAAGCTCGTAAGAGAATTTAAATGAAAACCCTTCTGAAATACTAATTTTACTTTTAAATTTAATTAAAATTAATTCTATTAATTTTTGTACAACCTAAATGAAATTTAAAAATCTAATTTTTAAGAATTTAAATCCACTAGTATATTTTAAGAAATATGCTTTACTAGTATGTCCCAGAATTAAAATCAGAGAAAACAATTCATGAACTTTATCAATTAAACAACACAATAAGTACTTGGTTCTGCTTCTATTTAATTGTAACGTATTCAGTTAATCTCATGGGAACAGGATCTGGGTTGACGACTGAATACCATATTATAATCACGACATCAATAGAACTGTTTCCTTCCTTAGTCCCTATGGCATAAGAAGGAAAAAGCAGTGAAGTACCCTGGAAATTAGCAGAGTAAATATTTTATGATTCTTTTGTCATTCCTTGATTTCAATTAAGAAATACAGTAGAGAGAACAAAAAATTAATATAATATTTGCAGATAAATTAGGCATTCTAACAATACACAGGTCCATTCAATTCCTACCAACATAAGAAAGATAAAGAATTAGTCCAAGTACAGCCCACGGAGCCAAGAATTTTAAAACAAATATTTTAACAAAGAGTTAAGACCCATGGTAAGAAGACAACTGACACTTCTTTTTGTTTTTTTAAATTGAGGTATAATCGACATACCACACTGTATTTGTTTTAGGTGTACCAGACAATTCTTGGTTAATCCTGGTGAGAGAGGAGAGAATAACTTGTATAACTGAAATTAAGGAGAACCCAAGACCTCACCAAGAACTTCCCGCTCAGACTTCCACCTAGAAGGCTCAACAGGGAGAAAAGACGATCAGGGCCGTGGACAGCGAGGGTACCTCGCTGGTACCGTGATGTGATAAGTGGGGTCCCTTACTGAGGGCCATGATTTCAAAGAGGAGCCCCTCCTGGACGTAAGGATGACAATGAACCCCGGAAACAATGTACAGCGTGTGCTGATTTTCGGGGGGAGAAGAGCCATGGCTTCTGTCACATCAGCAAAAGGAGGCCCTTTGCCCTGAGAAAGGTTAAAAAACAGAGGGACGCAGGCCCCGCACTCGTGTGCGTGCAGCCGACACGAGGAGACAGATCCAGCGCTCTGGCCCGCCCGTGTGGCCCTCAGAGGGGAGCCGCAGCCGCCACGCTCCCACCAGCATCGGCAGAAGCCGGGCCCTGGGGGGGTGCGTTCCGCGCGGCGCCCGCGGCCAGCCCGCAGCAGGGGGGCTCCAGGCTCCGCCCGGAGGAGCCGAGTCCAGAGGAAGGCCTGGAACCCCGGCACCAGAGCCAAACCAGAAGCGGGGGCGCCCAAAGGCTCCGGGTCTCCCCGGCTGACCGGCCGCCGGCTTTCTCCGCAGAAGCCACCGCCGAGGCTTCCCTAGGGGGCTGAGAGGCTGCGGATTGTAACTTTGTATTCTCTTAACGGAAGAGGCCGCTAGCGAACTCCACAACTCTTCTTCTTTGTTCTCCGGAATCTAATGCCAAACCCATAATTAGGGCTCTGGGCTGCAGGAGGGCAGCGTGGAGCCAGCAACGCCCCCGCCCGGTCTCCTGGAAATCAACCAGAAGAACAAGACACAAAACCACAAACGCCCTTCTCGGTGAAGCAAGGAGACGGCTAAGTGCCGTGAAATAGGTGAAGACGAGCAGGGGCCGCGCAGTCAAAAGCCGAAGTGAGGCCCGCGGCCGCAGGAAGCCGCTTCTGGAAGATGAGGGGCACCTGGGAGGGAGCCTCCCGACGCCCCACGCGGGAAGCAGGAGCTGTGACCCGCACCGCAGCTGCTTCTCACATACGGGGGCCGGGGGTAAAGGTTAGAGGGACTCACGTCAAACCTCAGCCCGCGCGGTCCACGAATAAATCATCTCCTGCAAGAAGGAGACATTGAGAGAACCAGCAGAGGTGCTTGGACACACAAAGCACAGACCACGTGGCTCTTCTACGTAAAGGAACTCCACAGGGTAAAGGCCAGTCATTTCCACGGCCCTACAGATGGGGGCTCCAGCCCCACCTGTGTGACCTCATCTCTAAACGCTCCCCCTCAGCCACTCCTCTCCACCGTCCTGGCCCCCGCATCCAGCCTCAGGACGTGTGCACTGTGCACACACTCCTGTCCCCACCTGGATGCTCTTCTTCCAGAACCCACGTGGCTCGTGACAAAGACTCTCTCCTTGACCAAACTCTACTCAGCCTCTCTTTTTTTTTTTTTTTTTTTTTTTTTAATTTTTGAGTTTTTTATTTTTTTTTTTTTTTTTTTTTTTTTTTTTTTTTTTTCGCTCGGTGCATGGACGTATAAAATTAAGACCATATTTTCAAGTCTTCTTGACAGTTAGGGTACGCGGGTCTCTCACTGTTGTGGCCTCTCCCGTTGCGGAGCACAGGCTCCGGACGCGCAGACTCAGCGGCCATGGCTCACGGGCCCAGCCGCTCCGCGGCATGTGGGATCTTCCCGGACCGGGGCACGAACCCGCGTCCCCTGCATCAGCAGGCGGACTCTCAACCGCTGCGCCACCAGGAAAGCCCTACTTAGCCTCTCCTGAGCTGTTTTTCAACTAGGCCTCGGCTTTTGATTTCCGTGTTCCTCTCTGCATCGTCTGATTGTAGCAAGAATTCTGCTAAGTCAGTTGAACCATCCTCCATATCCATCACCCTCAACACCTGACCAGGTTCCTCATTCTCCACCTCTCCTGGCCCCGGGGCGTGTCTGATGAACCTGGCCTGCCTTCAGCAAGAACCCTGTGAGCTGGTTTACTCCTTTACCCTCCTGATGTTTCTTCTCAGTAATTTTCCATCCAGTGACCCCCTCCCCCCGACTCTGCTCCCCGGCGATAATTACCACTTGCCCACACTGCACTCAGAGTGCACTTTTCCCCACTGCAAGACCCCACTGCAGTGGTCCCTACATCTATCGCAACAGTTCCCCCCTGAATAAAGTCTGCTTTACCATCTTCAACAAGGGCCAGGGATAATTTTTTCTCTCACACTCGCTCCCTCCTCTCCATCAAGTTGGTGCTCAAGTGACAGCATCCTCATGAGGACTCCCCTGACCACTCCTATTAAAACTGCACTACTCGCTTTCCAACACTCATTTATCCCCCCTCCCTAACTTTGCTCTGCAGCACTTGTCACCTTCTAAAATACTCCATAAGTGCTTGTCTATTTTACTTATCATCTGTACTCCTGGAATGTAAACTCCACAAGGGTAGAGTGACAGCAAGAGCAGGCACTCGATGTTTACTGAACAAATAAATGCCTACCCACCAGGAAAAAACAGCACCATCAAGCAGATGGAAACTGTGAACATGCATTTCACCGTGAATTTTTAAATGTCATGATGCAATTGCTTCTATGAGGGATGAACACAAGACAGAGAGAGCATGAGAGTTCAGGGATAAGATGGTGAGGCAAAAGAAAGAGATAAAAAATATAAGAAAAGCTCAGAAAGGAAGTGGAAGGAAAAAATAAAACAAAACCATCACAGAAAAGGGGGTGAAACTGAAAGGGGCTCAAAATACATACAGGACAGAAATGAGAAAATTCAAACAAATCATGTGAAAATTTAAGAAAGAATTA